GGGCTGGCTGGCATGTGGTGCTGGGGGATTGAACCGCGGTCCATGTGCTTTGCTTAGCTTAGCTTGTTCTAAGTAGGTGCTTTAGACCACTGAGCCATCTCACCAGCCCCTCCTTTGACATTTTTTTAAATTCTTAAATATAATACCTGACATGCACACTATATGAATTCATAATTCCTGTTAATTTTACTTTTTTTAATAGAGAAAAATGAAAGTTGGAAGGAAGGTTATTCGAAGTTAAATAGCAGAGGTGGACTTTCTGACTTCGCCTTTTTTTTTTTAAAAAACTTTAATTATTTATTTATTTATTTTGGCAGAACCGGGGATGAATTCAGACCCTTGCGCTTGCTAGGGAAGCGCTTATTCCACTGAACCATCTCCCTGGCCCCTGACTTGGTGTATTTTTAAGATCAGACTTTTTATAACACCAATAAATAGCAGTCATTGAAATGATTATTTTAGCTTGGATAGCAAAGAACTTTTTAATGTTTAATTCATTCCCTAAGCTTAAAAACCTGGCCTTTTAAGCTCTCTTTTGCTAAAAATAAAGATTGATACATACTTTACCTTGAACTTCATAGAAAGGAATTCAGTCTTGAGTCAGAAGTACTTTTTAGTTCTTACAATCTGCATAAAATGAAAGGTTAGAGGAAATTCATCTCATTTTGCTTGGAGCCCTTTGCTTTTCATTTTCATAGTACACATACTTAACAGTATGATCTGGTATAAACACAGAATTTGCTTTTTCTGTGTTTATAATTTATTTCTGATTTTTGTTAGTGTTTCTGAATGATTTTTAATTCATTTACTTAGTCTCTGATCTGTTTTGTTGATACTTAGTACAATTTCTGTAGCATAATGTACTAATACATGGGAACAATGGCTTGAAATTTTAACTGTTAGAAGATTTAAAAGTGAATAAGAAGATTGCCTAGTTGAAAATTTTGGTTGTTTTAGAATTTGGAAAGAACTTCTCACACAGTTTATGTGGTAATTTTTCTTGTAGTAATTCTAGTATGGAAGCTTTCATTTTACTACCTTCAAAAATATAATTCAATTTTTAACCTACAGTAATTTTATGGACATTGTGTTAAAATGGAAAATGGTCTAAATATCTAAGTTCCTTTCAGCAGTATTGGAAGTAGTAAAATAAAGACAGATTAGTTTGTTTTGTATTAGTCCAGTATCCTGCTTGACACCTAGAGTTGTTTTTTTTTTTTTGAGGCCTGGATTATAAGAAATTAGGTTTTAAAAATGACCTGTTTAATTTTTTAATTTTTAAACTTTGATGTAAAAAAGAATTGCATTGGCTATCCCATGATAAAAAATGATACTTGATCAACTTTGATTCTTAAGTGTCATACTAGTATCTGAAAGTATGCAGTGGCTTTTTAAGTTAAAGTACATGTTATGTAGTTCTAAGTGCCTGTTGAATTTTAAAAAGTTAAAAACGATGTGTTTTAAGAGTGATGCATGTTTACAGCCATCTGTATATTGACTAATTCTGATGGTTAGGTGGTTGTGTCCTTTTTACCTTTGTGGTTTTGTAACAGGCCAGCCTACGTGAACTGTCTGGTAATTTAGTACTATAGTATTCTCTGTCACTCTTCCTCATGTTTTTGACTTTAGGAGTGTATTAGCTTTTCACTGCATTAACAAAGTACGTTTTTTGAGAAATCAGTATGAAAGGAAGGTTTATTTTGGCTTGTGATTACGAGGTCCAGTTGTTTTGGGGCTGTGGCATGGTGTAGACTGGGTAGTAGAACAAGCTGCCTGCTTATATTTTGTGGCTGTCCGGAAGTAGAGTGAGGAAAAAAAGAGAAAGGGGCTGAGGACAAAACATACCTTCAAAGGCACACCTTGAGTGCACACCTGCATTGTACAACTAGGCCCAACCTCAGTTTTCCACCACCTCCTGCTTCGTGGATCAACCCATTGATCAGAGAGTTCTGATTCCTCAGAGCCCTCATCTTTGAATGATGTGTGCTGGGTCCACCCCAAACAGGAGAAAAATGGCCCTCACAGAAATATGCTACTAAAAACAAAAGTAAGTCTGTAAATTTCTTAGTACAGTATAGAAAGTAAGCACTTAGTGCATAATGCAAAATTAGTTTTGTTTTTTTTTCTTTTTTCTTTCTAGTAACACTTTGTATTTATCTTTTGCCTGTCTTCTTTGTTCAAGGCTGTTCTTGCCTTAGCTGCATCCTGGACCTCAAGACAAGTAGGAGAACGGACATTGACTGGTACAGTAATAGACAGCGGAGATGGTGTTACTCATGTTATTCCTGTGGTAAGGATATTTAAATTTTATCAAACAGAACATGAAATAATATATTTGTCAAAGTGAATTTGTAGGAGCTAATATCACTTTTTAAGAAACTTTATTATACCTTGAACCTTATTGTAATTTGACTGTATTCTGTTAAAATTAGTAAGTTATTTATTTTTGGCATTGGGAATTGAACTCAGGACCTTGTGCTTGCCAGGCATAAGCCACTGAGTTATCTCTTCAACCAAAATTAACAAGTTAAAAACACATTTTAAAAAATCTTTTATTTATTTGGTTCCAGGTCTCACTACATGGCTTAGACTTGTAGTGATCATCTTGTCTCAGCCTCCCGAGCGCTGGGATTAAAAGCATGCGCCACCATCCTCAGTTTTGGTGGCCGGCATAGTGCGCTTATGGTTCCGGAGCCCATACGGCATATGGTACTGGGGATCGAAGCCAGGTCCTTGTGCTTGCCAGGCAGGCACTTAGACCTCTGAGCTATTTCCCTAAAATTAGTAAGTTTTTAAATACAGTTTCTAATTTATATAATCATATCTGGAGTGAAAATATATTAATATGACTTTTTTGTTGCTAGGTATTGAATGTAGTGGCCTTTGCACTGAGCTTTGTCTTCAGTCCTTTTTTTATTTTTTACATTTAAGAGAAGGTCATGCTGAAGTCATTATCTTAGTTAGTCTTGTTGTTGGGACAAAATACCCATCATCTACAAGTTAAACAATGAGAAGTTTACTTTGACTCAGTTTGTAGAGGCTGTATTCCATCGTCATCTGGTTCTAAGGCAGAGTGGTGTGGCACAGGGACTTGGTGGGGGAGAAACAGTCCACAGCAAGAGGCAGGAGCAAGCCTGCCTTTCCCTTTATCCCAAACTGACTGCACATCTTTTGAGTGGTGCCACCTATTCTCAGGATGTGATTTCTGTCTTCAGTAAATCCATTCAGTCACAACAGATTCCAATTAGTGGATTAATTTAGTACCGTACTACTTTAATCCCAGTGTCCCACACCCACAATCCAGCCATTTCCCAAAGTCCCACCTTTGAGCGCCTGCTGTACTTGTGTGTGTCGGGGGCAGTAGCAAAAGTGTAACAGTCACTAAATTGCCCAGGCTGTCTTTCACCCTCAGCTTCCCAGACTGCTGAGATTATAGCTGTATGCTACCATGCTTGGGGCTTCCTTACCTTAGCTATGAAAAGCTATTTTTAAATCCTGTATGTGCGTGTGCGCGTGTGTGTGCCCATGCGCACATGTTAATGTACACATACAGTAGTTGATGGCTTCTCTTACCCTTAACAGATGTCAGACTGGTTCATGTGTTAACTGTGTGACATTTATAAGTGCATGAAGTTTGGGGTATTTATTTTTTTGTGTGTGTGTGGTACCAGGGATTGAACTCAGGACCTTGCCCTAGCCAGGCAAGCGCTTATTCTACTGAGCTGTCTCCCCGGCCCCAGAGGGTATTTATCTTACTGAGTAAAAAGCTTAAGTTGATTGAGCTTTGTGGTTTGTAGTTAGTAAAGCATGTTAAGAATGCATCAAACTAATTACTTCTCAGAGGAGAAATGGCTAGAATTTATTTTAGAACATTTTTATATCATTGAATAACATTAATGAAATTATTTTGAACTTTATTTATTTATTTATTTATTTGCAGAACCAGGGATTGAACTCAGGCCCTTGCGCTTGCCAGGGAAGCGCTTGTTCCACTGAGCCATCTCCCCAGCCTTTTTTCATTATTTTGAACTTTTTCATTTTTTTTCTTATTGCATCAGGTAACCTTTTGAGGAAAAGATTCTCAGGATGATAATATTTGAATTCTCTTTACCTAAAGTTGTAGTAATTACTCTTTTTTTCCCCCTCCTAGTGTGGGGAATGTAACTCACGGCCTTAAAAATACACTTTACTACTAAATCACATTTCTAGCCCCTAATAGGTGCTGCTTCAAGTTACAGATTTATTGAAGTGTAATCCACATACCATTATAATTAACCCATTTACAGCATTACAGTAAACTGGTTTTTAAAAATTTAATTCATTTTTTGTGGTACCAGAGATCGAACTCAGGATCTTGCACTTGCCAGGCAGGCACTTATGCTGCTGAACTGTATCCCCAGCCCAATAAGCTGGGTTTTAGTACATCTATTCTCAGAGGGCATGCAGCACAACAGTCAATTTTAGAACACTCTTATTATCAGCTTTTAAAAAACCCCTACTTTCATTAGTTATGGCTCCCGTTTCGTCCTGCTGCCCTCAGTTCCTAGCAACCTCTAATCTCCTTTAGATTTGCTTGTCAGGCCACTTAATAGAAATGGCATTATATATTAACGTGGTCTTTTGTGACTTCTGTTTTCGTTTAGCCCAGTGTTTTTAAGATTTATCCCTATTTTATCATGTATAGTATTCACTTTTATTCGCAAGTAATATTTTACTATATGATATGTCACATTTTATTTATCCATTGGGATATATTTTAGTATCTTGGTTACTAAGATGTGTTCACCAATTGACAGCTTTTTATCATTGATAGCTTTTTATTTTATTGACAGCCTGTTAGTGTTACTTAAAATAATTGCTCATTCTAAAATTTTCATTTAAATCTCAAAAGTAGTCTACGGTGGCATAGATTATGTTGTTTTGTGAGAGCCTTAGTTTACTTATCAATAAAGCACAAATACGTGACTTGCCTAAAATCAAGTAATAGCAAAGATAGAATTTCGACTAATTTTGCATGACTCCAGTCTATAACATCTGTACAACTAAATGATACTATTACTATCTTGATAATAAAAATTAGGTAATTTTAAATAGAAGTTGGAAGTTGAAAAAGAATGAATTTTAGTAAAAATAATGGAATGAGTGTTCCTATTTTATTTGTTGCTTTTGAATTAATGGATTTTTTTGTGATACTGTTTTGTTTTTTACTAGTTAATTATGCTGTGTTTATCATCTGTTTCAAATAATAATCTATGCAGTTAAAATTGTATGGTAATGTATGTCTAGTCTTTGTGCTATCGTATATTTTACATTTACATGTTAACTGTATAATGTAGCATTAATGTTTTCCATTGTAGGGATCAGATTGTTTGGTAGCATTCTGATTAAAAGATGAATATCTAAACAAAATAATTTTTTTTCTCATGGATCTGGAGGCTAGAAGTCCAAGTCCAAGGTTTTGGTGGGGTTGGTTTCTTTTGAGGCCTCTCTCCTTGGCTTGCAGATGGCCATGTTTTCTGTGCCTTCATGTGATCTTTCCAGTATATTATGTCTGTGTAATCTCCCTTCTTTTTTGGGGGCAGAACTGGGGATTGAGCTCAGGCCCTTGTGCTTGCCAGGCAAGTGCTTATTCTATTGAGCAATCTCCCCAGCCCCTCTCCCTTCTTGTTAAGGACACTAGTGATGTTGGGTTAGGAGAAATGACCCTAGTTACTTTATTCTGCCTTAATTATCTCTGTAAGGGAAGACCTTATTTTTTGGTAGGCTAAGGCAGGGAGATCAGTACAGTGAGGTCAACCTGGGCAGTTTAATGAGAACTTAATCTTGAAATTTTTTAAAAAAAGAAAAGACCGACTGGAGATAGAGGCTATTACTCTGTTGGTGCAGTCTCCAATATCACAAAAAACAAAAACAGCTATCTGTCAATGACTAAGTGCTGTCATATTCTGAAATGTTGGGGTTAATTTTAATGTGAATTTGGAGTGAGAAGATAAAATTTAAACTATATTTGTCTTTAAAAGAGAATTTGAAGAGAAGGTAACATTCTTTCTCATTTACTTATTTCTTGTATTCATTATTTCTTCGTGAAAGCCCTGGTTTCTTTCTGGTATAGTTGTTCATCTTCTTAAATGCTGTCCTTTATTTAAGTTCTCTCCCTTCCTATCCTACCTTCCATCGCAGGAGGTAGCTGTGTGGCCTAGACTGGTCTGGAACTTTGGACTTGAGCAGCCAGTTTACTTCAGCTTCTTGCGTAGCCGGGATCACAAGTGTGTACCATGCCCAGTTCATCTCTGGAAAGTTTTCTCGTTAGTTCTTCATCTTTCCTTCCTTACCTTTGAGGATGCTAATTAAACTGACAGTGGTATCATTTTGGATAATTTTTATTACTTGTCTAGTCTATAGTAACCTCATCTAGTTTATTTTAGTTTAGTTAGTTTCCTTCTTAGAAATTCTAGTTGGGTCTTGTATCTTCCATTTTTTTCTTCCCAGGCTAATCTTTCCATTGACTTTCTGTGTCATATGGAGTATAAATGCTCAGATTGGTAGTAATCCACCTGTTTACAGCCTCCCAAGAGCTGGGATTACAGGTGTGTGCCACAACGCCCAGTCTCAATTGCTGTCTCAGTGTGCCCTGGGGGTGGGGCCGGCACTGCAGGTGTGGGGATTGGACCCCTGGATTCTGCACCTGTTTGCAGGCGCTTTAATCCTCTGAGGTATTTGTCTGGCCCACATATCATCTTTATAATTTGTCTATTGATACTTCTCTTGGACAGGAGTTGAGCATTTTTCTACTTCAGTACATACTATATAATTTTTTTTCTTACAAGGCTATTAAATAGTTCTTGATCAGGATAATCATTTATTTCTGCTTGTCTGTGATTTCAGAATCGTAAGGCTCTATGAGCTATAGTGCTTAAATCCATGGGAAATTTCACTATTTCATTTGTCTGTGAGTCATGCCTATGATTCTATATTCACATTGTTTTGTCTTGGATTTTTGGAGTCCTTTAAATGTGATAGTGTTTTTTTTCCTAGGATACAGTTCAGCTACTAGAAATCAGTTCCTGCCAAGAGATCCATTTAAACATTAAACAAGTACAGACTGAGTTTTGTCTAAGGCTGATTGGTCTCCATTATTGTCAGAATACCTTTTGAAGATGACTTAATGTCCTGTGCTTAAAACCATCTTTTAACTGTGTAGTGGGAATGTCAACTTCTGGCTGTAAACACCAGAGATTGTTCTGCTTCTTACTTTTTAGGGGTTCTCTCTTTGGCTTTGATGGTCTTATAAATGTGCTCATAATTAGTCAACTTGGGTGATTGTGTCTTCAGATAACCAGAGCAATTCAGCTGTGTCCTTCAACTTCAAGCTCTGTCTCTTAATTACAGAAACTATTACACTCCCTTTAGATTCTTCTCATTGTTATTGTTCAGGAGTTCTCTCAAGCATTGAGGTATTGATGGCATTCACTTTTGTTTGTTGCCCTTTACAGCAAGCTATATATCTATTCCTAAACCTTTCTTCAGTTTTTAAAAAACGAGGTTCTTGCTGAGTTGCTAAATCACTTGGGCTGGGCTCAAACTTGCCATCCTCCTGCTTCACACTCTCAGACGACTGGAATCATAAGCATACACCATCTTGCCCAAGGTGCTCCCTTTTTCATAGAAAGGATCACTACTTTTTTGGCCAGTGTCTGGAAACATTTATTTCACTTAATTTGTTCAGTTTTCTCATTCAGTTAAGAAGATAAATCTGATCCCTGATACTCTGTTCTGGCCAAATGAAGATGCCCCAATGTTCTTTCGTACTGAAATTTCATTTTGTTGTGTTATTTGTTATACTTTTGACTTAGGACAGTAAATTTAGGCATTTATCCCATGAGGATTTAATGAATTTGGCTTTGTGATCATATGTGAAATGCCTCAGGCTTGTGATTAGTGTATTTCATTAGGAAAACAGAAACTATCTTTTGGTTAATCCATCACTTTTTACACAACAACCTACATTTTTTACTGAACTTGTAAAATTTAAAATAATACCCTGTCTTACATAAGTTCTGCTGTTGAAACTATTTGATGTTTATTTTTTGAAATTTACTATTTCTGTGTTGATTTTAGTCATGTTATAAACTGCTGACACTGGAAGACTAATATTCTTAGCCTATTATCATGCTAATTATTTGTTATTTCTTGAAAGAAACTGTTTGATTATGATCCTAGTTTTACATATTCTTTGTATATTGTCACATTTGTGAGGACTAGTACAAGAATGTTCTCCCCTCTTTCCTCCCTCCCTCCCTCCCTCCCTCCTCTGAGTTGGCAGCATTTGTCATAAATTTTTTTTGTGTTCTTCATAATCTTTACAATATTATAAATTCTGTGATAAATACAGGTATAGTGTGAGGAAATACAGTTGAGGGATAGAGATGAATTCTGTAGTAAAGTTTTTTGAAAATGCATATATACTAACTTGAGAAGCTGGTCTTTTAAGAATTATAAATTTCAAAGCGCTAAAGATAAATTTGATACTTTTCCCCCCTTTCTAGGCTGAAGGGTATGTGATTGGCAGCTGTATTAAGCATATTCCAATTGCGGGACGAGATATAACATATTTTATACAGCAGCTGTTGAGAGACCGAGAAGTAGGAATCCCTCCAGAACAATCTCTGGAAACTGCTAAGGCAGTAAAGGTAAACACTAATGAACGAATCATAGTTCTGTTAAAAATTAAAATCACAGATAAGCATTAATTTGAGAAAAAAAATCTTAATTGAAGAACAATACTTCAAAAATATTCTTAGCCTATTATCATGCTAATTATTTGTTATTT